GGTTAGACTACCTTCATACTGGTACCGATCAAAGTTTCATACACCGCGATGTGATGACCACAAACATTCTGTTGGATGAGAATTGTGTTGCGGATCTTGGGCACACCAGGGGACACTCACAAGCAAAAACACAAGAGTTTTAACGTGGTTCGGCAAATCGGCCTACGTCCACGGGAGCGATGTTGTTATATATCAACAAATGGAGGAGATTACACACTCTCAACTCACTGTCTCTCTATATAACACACTCTCTCACACTCTCTGATACACAAACAGAATATAGCTCTCACTAGCTCTCTCTGTTTTGTGCCTCTCTCTCAGCAGTGTGTTTCTCTCTTGCTTGCTATGTTTGCCGTGTATTCAACTCACCATCACCATTCCATTTTATACACCAAAACAGAAGGTGGAGGAGGCCTCATGGGTGTGTTGGCTGCCAGCCCAATATTCTCCTTTGAGCTGCTGTCCAGTTGAAAGCTTTGTCCCACCATGTGAAGACTTCACATGGCCAACTTCATGCTTTCTCCTTTGTTGCTGGCGCATGACAAGCCTCATGGCTGCCAACTCAAGCCTCATGGCTTGCCAACTCACGCCAACCTCTTTTGCCGTCCTTTTACCATGTGGGTTGGCCACCCTTCCATGTGGCTGTCAACTCAATTTGGGTTGATCTCCTACATTGTTCTCCAATGGTCTTTTGCCTTCCTTTTACCATGTGGGTTGGCCACCCTTCCATGTGGCTGCCAACTCAATTTGGGTTGATCTCCTACATCATCTACCCCAAACATGAACAAAGAACGCAGTTGAGAGAAACACATTCCTCATGGTATATTTTGCAAAGTATTATGGATTGAGAGGTGTCTTACTTTAGAAAGCCAGCTCAGATTTCCTGCACCTGTTATTGCTAGAAAGTTTTGATCTATTGACTTTGAAACAATAATTTCACGCAGAAGATCATGTACACGACAACTCTGGATCCTTCCGTCTCTCCCTCTCTTCGCTACTTGAATCAAGCTTCTATTAAGAAGCTCATAGATGTATGCCTCAGCGACTTCCTCTAGGGTCTTTCCATGTTTTACTTCCACAAATCCTTCTGCGACCCATAACCGAATCAAGCTCATCCATCCGATCAAATGATCCTCTGGAAAATTGCTCAAATACAAGAAACATGACTTTAGATAGTACGGCAAATCATTGTAACTTAGCAACAATATTTTCATCATATCGCTGCCTTCTACTTCAGCACCAAGGCTGCGATTCACCAACTCCCATTCATCTATTCTGTTGTAGTCCTTTGAAGCCAACACACCAGCAATCGCCACAATTGCCAATGGCAAGCCATCACATCTTCCTAGGATTCTTTCTGAAAGTTCAATCAAATGTCGAGGACAATCCTTCTCTTGAAATGTCTTTTTGCAAAACAGAATCCAAGACTCTTCTGGAGACAAAGGCTTCATTTCATAGATGTTACCATGGAATCCTCTACAAGAGGTAGAAGCAATATTGGCAATACGTGTTGTGCGCAGCACACGGCTACCACAGTTGCAGTTTGGCAGTGCAATTTAGATAGCATTCGATGCATCTATTCTCCAAACATCATCTAAGACGAGCACGTACCTGCTTTCTTGGAGGACCTCTTTGACCACTGCTTTCATCTTATTGTCGTCCATGGTTTCCAACCTCTGAGGGAGAGGCCGTTTTAGTTCGTCGAAGAGTAGTTGAATCAAGTCTTTTAGGATCTCTTTGATGTTAAATGGTTGGGACACCGTGATCCAAGCATGGTTTTGGAAATGTCTCTTCACTTCCGTATCCTCGTAAACCTTCTTCACCAGGGTGGTTTTTCCCAAACCCCCCATTCCAAGCACCGAAATCACTTTGAGTGGAGAATCACCATCAATGACCCAATCAAGGAGTTGTTGTTTGGGCTTGTCGATGCCAACAAGGTCAGCTTCTTCTAGTAGAGGTGCATCACCTCGTCGATCATAACATCCTCCATTGATTGCCATATTGGTAGTATTAGAGCTTGAGCCTTGCTCAGAGGTACAGAGTTTGTGATCATACCTCTTGCGTCTCTCTGCAATTTCGACGACTCTGCTTTTGATGTCCTGTATCTCATAAGGAATCTGATAACGAGCTTTCATGTTCTTAATTTGATAATGAATTTTATAAATAGATCCACAGATTCCACGCTGATGGTGACGAGCAAAGCGAAGCATAAATTCATCAAGAACGTCCTCGATGTCACGAGCGACGTCTCGCACTTGCTTAACCCATGTTTGGAGCTCTAAATAGGTCTCTTCCATTGCATAGCAGGGTGATGCTATGGTACATTTAGGTGTACCATACATTTAATTATGAACTTATATGATTTTATATTATAACCTATACCATATTAGTCATAACTATCACCATATTAACTCATAACTTAGTTATATTCAATTATTTACATATACCATATTACTTCATAACCAGGTCATTAAAAGTGACCTGCTAAACAGGTCACTTTTTATAGTTATGAGCTAAAATCATATTTCTTCATAACTATAATCAAATTGACCATAACTTAGCTATAACTACATCTCATAACCAACACCATTTTGTTCAATTTTAGTCATAACTAACATCAACATATTTCCATAATCATAATGCACATATTCTCATAATCACACCACTTGAATCTAACAAATATCACATATCTCATAATATTCGATCACATATCTCATAACCACCATCTCATAACCAATCCCTTTGAGTCAATAACCAACTCACATAATCTCAATACCACTTAGTCCACATATCTCATAACCAACACCTTTTTTTTGTCATAACTAAAATATCAGCATATTCTCATAACCACTAATCACACATCTACATAACTACTACCACCACATTATAAACACATCTCAAACGCAATCCTTTGAGTCAGACCAACATCACTATATCTCATGAACGCACGTTACATATCGTTCGTAACCAACACCTTTTGTCAATGACCAATATCACATATTTATACACACTAATCACCAGTATCTTTATAATTAACACCTTATTTTGGCTCCATAACTCACAATCATTTGATCATATACCAACATCACATATCTCTAATACACGATACTTAGATACACATAGTCATCAACAACATCACCTACTCACAACCACTAGTCACATAACAATACTCTCATAACTCACTAACCATTATAATATGTTCCAGCACTTCGAACTCACGTCCGTTTCGGCATGACGTTGAACATCCAGCCGCTTTGAATCGGAGATCCAACCCCCTGACCCACTTGCTCATAACCATTGTACCCACATATCTCATAACACACTAACACATATAACATAACAAATACCACTTTTGAACACCACTTTGGCCTCATAACCATTACCACATTCTACTATAACTACTAACCATATAGCATAACCAAATACCCTTTGACACCACTTTTGCCTCATAACCATTACTCACATACTTCATAATACCACTCACTAACATATTACCCACATATCTCATAACCACTAACACATGTAGCATAACCAATATACCCTTTGACACCACTTTGCTCATACCATTACGCCACATATCTCACATAACCTCATAACCATTACCAGAACAATATCCTATAACCACTAACTACATATATAATAAACCAAACACCCTTTGACACCACTTTACTCATTAACCATTACCCAACATATCTCCATACCCTTCAAACCATTACCTCACATATCTCATAACCATAACACATATAGCATAACAGAACACACCTTTGACACACTTTGCTCATGAACCATAACCCCATATCTCATAACCACTGCATACCATGTCAACACTATTCTCTATAACCATAGCCACATATACATAACCAAAACATCCTTGTGGCACCAACTTTACTCATAACCATTACCCACATATCTCAATAACCAGACTAACACATATAGCATAACCACAAACAACCTTTTGACTAACCACTTGCTCACTAACTATTCACCCACTAGTCTCATACCACTCATACCATTACCCACTATTCTCATAACACGACTAAACATATAGCAGTAACCATAACAGCCTTTTGACAAAGCCACTTTGCGTCATAAACTATTACCCACAATCTCATAACACGTAACAGTATAGCATAACCAAAACCCTTTGACACCACTTTGCTCGTCAACCATTACACATATCGTCATAACACTAACACATGATAGCATAACCCAAACACCTATTTGAACACCACTTCTGCTCATAAGCCATTACCGCGTTGCTGACTATCGATGCTCACCCTACATACCATACGATAAACATTATAGGCATAACAAACACCCTTTGACTACCACTTTAACTCGTAACCATTACCACATATCTCATAACGCAACATCACACATATATCACAAATACTAATCACATATCTCATAGACCAAACACCCTTTGACTTAATAACTATGAACCACTAGCTGCTGCATTAACAAAACACATATCTCGTAATCACTAACATAATAATGCTCATTACTTTGATGACATCTCCACATATATTATTAACCACAGTCCATAACTTGCACCCTATTGTTGTTCATTAATTCAAGTCACATATATCAGTAACTACTAATCATATGATCTCAGAACCACTACACGACGAGTATGAGGGGAGTAAGTGAAGCTTTTTAGCATCCCAATGAGCTTTGCGGCACACCCCAAGTCCGGCCACGTGTCGCCCATGGGGTTAAGGCGTGTAACATAGGCGGCTTGAAGTCACATATAACGCCCAACCGTAAGACCCTGAGCTATGTGTTTCTGAGAGCCGCGACCCGAACCGAAATACGCGATATACAGATTGGCAGTGACAGTAGGGATGGGCGCTGGTGCATGAGTGAGTTGGATGAGAGTGAGTGAGACCCGATGCCGTGAGATCCGCTCGAACCGAGAGGAGAGAAGGTAGCTGTGACAGATCCCGAATTTTGTCTTTCCCTCTAGCCGACCTGACCCACCCCACATGGCTCCATTGCCCCCATTGTCATGCAAATGGCCACAAGATCTCTCATAATATCCAAAAACAATTTTGAAAGGAGTCATACTAACGATGTTAATGAAGTTGTCTGATTTTCCACTCAACAATTCAAAGTTTTCATTTTATTTTTATTTTATTGTTTATATATGATAAATTAAGCTCCTCCTGCCCCAAGTCGCAATAAATTAACCAACCCCTCTAACATTTTTTTTGAGTCCTCACAAAAATTTCTTGTCTTCAAACTCCATTCTCGTCTCAAACTTTCCATCTACATATAGCCAAATCTTTGGCGTAGTTATGATTTATCTGGAACGTTTGTACATATCTTAATAGAACTGTTCGAAGAAAGGCTCGCGCAATAGTATTACGATTACTTAGTTGTACATTGTTTTTCGACTATTCTCGAAGCTTCTCTTCATGCTATCAAACACTCTCTACCTCATATTCTTACTTGCTCACAGTGCTAGATATCTCGCGATGTTCCTCTATCGAGAGTAAACAGACGAAACACCAATCTGTTGACCATTTATGTTATCGACGCGCAGAACGGGGACCAGTCCTGCTTCAGTCTGCTGTTTACTCATATTCCTTTCCTTTCGCTCATATTGGTTATTTTCTCTAACGTTCTCTATTTCTCTGTTCGCATGGGCCTATAAGTCGTGGATTAAAAGTATTTGGATTATTCGATTGCATAGACATTCTGTGTTTAATCTGTAGCAATTAGAGATCGATTGTGATTAAATTATTTAAAAATTTTAGAATGGTTTTTGTTACACCAATTAGTGGTTAGGTTCATAAATTTTTGGTTAATGATTTAATGAAATTTTGGAGAAATTAGTTACCGACATTTGTGATTTTTAGATTTTAAAACAATTTTCGTTACGCAATTAGTGAGTGCAGTTATTGTATTTTTCTAATTTTATATCAACAACTTTGTGACTTTGATTACAACTATTATGGTCTTGTTTGGTAACTATTCCGTTTTTCGTGTGTTCGTTTATATTTATAAAAATTTTAAAAGCCTGTAAGAAGGCCTGTCAGCCTTTCTTTATCCTTTTCCATTGCTGTAAAAGGACCCTAAGATTGACGCAGGGTGGTAACCAAGCCTTGACCTCTTCAAGATCGAAAAAAATAAAATTCTCGGAATTCAATAGAACATCGTATATAAAAAGTAAACAAGAGGTGCCGACAATAACAAGACGGCTATTGGCGTGTCAATATAGTTTCCAGTAATTGTCGACGGTGTTTATGGGTGGCAGAATGCTGACTGAAGTGCAAAGAATTGCAAGATTAGTAACAATTGGATGGTTTGGCCATTTTTGCAAAGAGATATCAGTTATTATGGGAAAAAGGACGAGTTTGAAATAATGGGCAATTACAAAATTTATAGCTTATACATCAGCACTTGGTCTGATTGTCGGGTCCAGTACTTCTGCTTCGAAAATGGGGGCGAATAAACACTAAGATCGACAAATATGTGAGGCTTATGGTGATAACGCGGCTTTGCCTTAGTGATATATTCTAGTACAGAGAACAAATAATGGGCATGCAAGTAGAATAGCTAACAGCAATGTCTAGTCACGCATGCGAACAAAAACAGAATAATTATCCATCAGACCAAGTCGTTGTACAAGAGTCATTATACAAAAAGATACTAGACAAATTTAAGTATCCTGCACAATTATGTGTGGTATTACTTTTTTTAAAGAAACGAGTCTTAGTTTAAGCTCCAATATCGACCTCTCGGATTTCATAAGCGAGACTATTTGACCTGATAGCGGCAACAGCTGTAAACAAAGCTGTTAGATATTGGTCGTTCAGAGGGTTTGTATCTTCAAACTTGAATAATTGTAATGATTGTCAACGATTAATAACATTGAAGTTTTGATAGGTATAATAGGTGTCATTACACATTCTTAGATGTCAGACTTTTGTGTTTGCGTCAAATTAGATTTTATAGTATGTCGTAAAGTCAAGCTGATAGTAAAACATACGTAGTATTAGTTAGTATGAGCATCATAAAATGTTGCTAAGCTAAAATCTATCTTGGCATATCAAGAAATTAGAATAAGCAGCCACATAAATTTGCAAAGGACAGATATGAGTAGGGAGCAAGAACTGAACATTAAGTGTTGTGGAACTGAAACAGTGTTGAGATAAGCAACAACTAACGTAATAGTAATTCGACCTGATGCGAGTACGATTCTGCATTCAAATGACGCTGGAAGTTTTGGAATGACTTGAGAATGCGCATCGGTAGGCGAAAGAAACCAAAAACTAGCAAAGTAGCATTTAAC